AAATTGATCTTTTTTACAGAAGTGTCTTAGAGCCAAAGAATGTTGACATTAAAAGAATTTTTCGGTAATAGCTAAAATGGCATTATCATATATTTTAAAGCTATAATTTACGTGAGTTCAAAAAAATTCTTCACAAATACCGTGACTTCGGCAAAATTAATTCTTAAAAATTCAAAAATTTTGATTTGATTCAAAAAATTTTTGAAAATAAGGAAATTTTTTATGCTTTAAAGATTTTAAAATTAAGAGTTTGTAGTTAAAACCTACCGAAATAGTATCATCTTTAATTATATAATATACTTGATTCTCCAGATCAAAGGAATCAAAGTATTTTGCTCGTTGAGGAAAAAGTGTCTTCAAGGCGATAACCGATTCTACATTATATGGCTGACGACACATATTATTAGGGCACATCGGTGGTGTACCTCAAACTTTTATTAATTGCTTTCTACACCTCTAAATATATATTAGATTTCGTTGATTAGACATTCTTGAAAATTACCGGTGAGTTCACATTCATTAAGCATTCGTTCCAAACAGTCAATGCAAGCATCGTGCTCACATTCTTCATTTGATGGAAATCCATTGAGGGCTCGTCCTTCGCAATCTTCTCCACACGTACACTTGGCAATCTGAAGCGCACTTCTTAACAATACGCTTCAAAGTCTTTGCTATGCACAGTGTGAAAAAGAATGAGCTTAGATAAATTTGAAAAGCATTGATCTGTCACAAAGTAAATTCTGAAATTGATGGCAGGAAACGCAATAATGTAGCCTGCGCTATCAAATTTAGAGCAATTCTTTGGATTCAATACAACAAAATGAATAGCGATTAATTAGCCATAAGCAATAAAAATAAAATTACTAAATGAGAAAGTTTATAATTAGTTACTTATACTTTAAGAAAAAGAGACCATCGATGTACTTTTCGAACTAGAGGGATTGACTTTGATCAACCACGATGCAAAGTATATCATATAGCTTGGTTATGATTTGTATTTGAATATTTTATATGATTTAATTGATTTTTCAAACAATCCAATCGACTTGAATTTTACTTGTCAGTAAGTATGATAATCCACAAAAAATCAAAGTTTAATATGAAACTAAACAACATAATATAATTTTGTCTAAGCTAAGTAGACAAACTTGAATTTGAAAGAAGCAAAACAATGAAGAAGCTTAACAGATATCAACTAATTCAGTAATAATTAATAATTGTGTTGTTTTAGGCAGCTGACCTGACTAGCTTGAGTTAGTTTTTAAAGCAAGCTAAGAGTAACAGTCTAAAATATTAAAGAATTTCCAAATGCAAAGCATATTTCTAAACAAATTCCCACAAAATAATTTGTAAAGGATTAGTTTTGGATCATTTTTAAACTTCTAATAGATTAGTAATTGATGGAAAATTTGTTCACTATCAGCATTTTTCAGTACAAATATTGAATAATTGAAATTAATGCAAGTTTAGAAACGAACTGGCACAGCGGCGCCTTTATTTTTGACCTTTCGAGAAGGTTTCTGGATGCACTTGCCTTCTGGACATATAATATTTGCATAGCTATCGTCTGCTGAACGAAATTTAATTTTTATTTTACAATTCTAATAATTCGAAAGAATTGTACCAACTCAACATTGAATATGTAATGGATGCTAAGTTTGAAATCTTAGACCTTGATTTTTAGGATTAATGAGACGAAAAATGTCACGTATTATATATAATTCATTTATGAAAAGGTTTACTTGTTTTTAAAATTCATTATAATTTAATTATGTATTTAAAATGCCAAAACTGTTTCCAAATCAGTCTATTAACTTTCTAAAAATATTTGCAAAAAAGATGATCGTAGATGAAAATAAAAAAATTTCACTGAAAAAGTTCAAATTTCACTGAAAAAATTTTAATATAATTATTCTAAAAGCCATTATAATTATAATCTGTTTTAATGAATTCTACAGTTTTTGATAAATTTATTCATTCTGTAATAACTACAAAAATCAAATATCACTGAATCGCTCACTATTTTAAGCACTAAATTAATTGCGAATTATTACGAAGCAAACCGAAACTAACAATTTACACTGTAAAGTAGCTTTTTCTCTATACAGTCATAACAATATTTAGCTGCGCAACACTTTGTAACGACGTATTTGATATCCGTCAATGATTTCTTACAGCCATCACAAAAATCTCCAAGGAGATCGCTGTCAGTTAATAATTCATTGCACCCTGCTACAGGGCATACTGAATTCATGATATACCGTTATGAAAAGGTACAGACTTTAATAATCTAAGCTGTAACTTCTTTAAATGTTCATAAATGAATATCTGTTGAATATTTGCAAAATATTTGCATTGCAATGAGTGTAAAATTAAAAACAAATTTTTATGCTTCGACGATGTTGTCATTAAATCGAAAATAAAGTTTGAAGGAAAGAAAAGCAAAAATTAGAGAAGTGTATTCACACGAATGGTTCTTGTATTGCATTGCTATTTTCAATATTTGATATTCGTTAATAATTTTAAAAAAAATTTGTGATTTAGCAATAAACCAATAATTCCGAGAAAAAATTATAGTAAATATTGTAAACAAAATTTGCTATTTCATTCATCACTTTTATTTTTCTTTTTGTCTTAATTAATCTGAAAAAAACTACGTTTAAAAAGTTAGTTCTCTCATTTGTATTTCGCATTATTTTACTGTATTTCTATTTTTCAACCAATGATATTATAACCTGCGGGATTCCGTTTGGAGAATTCTTCAAAACAAAAGGTGCACAACTCGTGCTTGCAGCTTCCTGCGCTGATTGATTCATAAGATGATAACTTCCTGCAGCATTTTGAGTGATAACATAACCCCATGAAAAATTAATTGAAACTAATTTGAAAATTGAAGCTAAACTCAGTTCTTGAACTAAATTTGAGTTTGTTGTTCATGCTTTTTCAAGATTAATAAGATGCAATATTCAATCTTTGCATGGAATATGTTGTTTTTCAATTGTTGTTTTACTATAAATTTCAGATTATAGCGAAAAAATTTGCTGGTTAAGATTATTGACACAACTATAATATGTTTTTTCTTGCGTCATTCATTATTTAGAACATTTTAAAGTCAGTTAAATATCTGATGTGAATTGTCGTTGCTAATAAGCACTAAATTTTTTACAGTTTTCCATTGATTTAAACCACAGTATGTCCCATCTTAATCATTCAATTTTGCAAATGCGAAAATCTGTCTTATTAATTTCAGTTTGCTCTGGGGCATTTTGCGAGTTGATGATTATTTCATTTTGTTTAGAATGCAAAATCTCAGCAAAAAAATCATAAATTACTATAATTTTTCAAGTTTTTGAAAATTTTTAAGTATTTCTGATGTGTTACTCAAACTTTTGAAGTTATATTTAGAGACATATTTATCAGAGCAAAATGCACTGAACCAATTCGAAATATACTAAATAAATTTTTCAACAGCTTTACAGTACCCCTTTTTTTTTGAAGATTCGCAGCTTCGAACTCTCAATCTCTGTTGCACTACTAGCCTCAAGTCCATCTAATTTGCCTACTACTTCATTCATTCAGTCCTTTCTTAATTACTTTCAATCTTTGCTGCCTCCTCATTTTTGTGCTTTTTCGGAGATATTTTTGTCTTAGGCAATTCTCCTACTAGTTTTTTACTTCACTCCATCCGTTTTTTTTACTCTAACGTACTATCTGTTTTACTTGATCTCAACATCTACAATCTAGAAGGGAGATTAAGTTCTCATCAAAGTAAATCAATGAAACAAAACCATAAGTTATGAATTTCAAAATATTCTTTGCAACGGCTATCAGTTGCAAAGTCCATAAAGAAATTAATTTTGTGTCAGTAATAACTGAAATTTCTTTATTATTTTTGTACCTTACCAAATTGAAATCAAGTTTTAAAAAGCTGCCTTCACCTTGGACACTTTTCATTGGCACAGTTGTTTAATGAAAGAGTTTCGGTATGAATATTGGAAAAGCAGTGCAGCATTAAACATTCCTGTATAATTTGCTTATTTTTTCAGCATATTGTTTTGGTTTCAGAAAATATAAAGGTTACTTCAGTTATTCAAGAATCCCTGTTTCTTTATTACTCTTCATGAACCGAGTATTAGAATTGACGTGAAGCAACTGCTTTGGTTTATTTAGTATTAAAAATCTGGAATATTATGCATGTAAGAAGAAATCTCACCCTTTTAAAACTCTTAGATATACACGAAGAACAAAATATATGCAAACAAGGTAAAAGTTGATGCATTTCCGTTACTGGACGTTGATGTGCACAGATTGGGCATGTCATTAAAACGCTTTCGGCCACTTCTGACATTACGTTAAAATGACACTAATTTGAAATAAGAACTTTCTATCCCATTAAATAGAATTTAGAGGAATATTCAAATTTTTTTCTTTTTTTTCTTTCGAAAAGATTGAACAAATTTGTAAAAGCGACTAATAAACTAATAATTCATAGTTGAAAGATATGTTTGAGCTATCATGCATCGAATAAAAATAATAATGGAAGTGCTTTCATAAATGGGCAACGATATAATGTGTAGATTTATATCTGACACCTGATTTTTACGTATCGATTGCGACTTTTATCAATTCGTTTCACAGTTTCACCTAATTGTGACAGTTGAGAAAAATATTTGTAAACTTGGCAAAATTTTTTTAAGATCATAATTTTCACAGCGAGTCAGTTCTTCCATGGCACGCGACGCGCAATGCTTAGAAGCGTTTTCGTCTTTTTACTTAAATTTGTATTAACAAACGTTTACTGTATCATATGATTTCGGATTGATGTGCTGTCTATATTCAGCGTAATATGTGTTGCTGTACTTGCCAAGTTGTCTTCTAATTACACGTGACGCGCATAAAACTCGATTAGATAATCAGCATTGACTGGATTGATTATTGGATGAGTTATGTCTTTCTACCATAATGGTAGTACTCGTAAAGTAATCTTCCTTCCCGCATTCATCTTTTATTTTTTGAAAAGGGAATGAGTAGAGCAGATATGCGTAATAGAGATTAGTTATTGATAGAAAAAACGTCTAGAAATAGTGCAGTAATGGAATAGAAGCCGAAATGATACTTTTACATCATACTAAAAGAGCTAAAATCACAAAAATACTGTAGCGAAAGACAGTTGTGAATGAAAGAAACGGTAGAGATTGATTAGGGTTGTCAGATTAAGGGTTGGATGCATTGTCAAAAAATAAACGGCAGGGATTGATGCGATTCTGAGACAGCATGTTTAAAGCATGGTTAGAAGAGATGTCTGAGGATCATTAATTATATACGTTCAGAAAAATGGCAGAGATGGAGAAAAATTTTTTAATTTTATTGGACAGTTGTGGAATTTATGAAATTGTAAATGGATTTCACTTATGCTTATAATATAACAGAAAGATACTATTTAATAGAAATTGTAATGTAACGTACAGCAAAGCTAGTAGATCGCGAGAAAAAGTTTAAAAGACTGTGGAATGCACACAAGACAAATATAGTTTTGAGGGATAGCAGAGATTGAAAATAATTGCAGAGAACATGATACAAAAGGAACAACCGTAATCTTTTGCTAGAAAAATTGGTTAAAATTTTTGATTACTGAAATGCAAAAATTATTAAATGAAAAGATGCATTTAAATTGCTCAGTTAGCTTGATATGAGAGCTTGATTCCGTTTCTCTGCATCTGTGGAATTTCATCTTATTCTGATTGTTTATTTCGAATATTTGTAAAGCTGCTAAAAGGAAATTTTATGATAAGATAGATCTTCTAATGCTATAAGACGGATAATCATGAATCGTTTTAGTATTTACTTCAGTATCTTATGTAATGAATCGTTTTAGTATTTACTTCAGTATCTTATGGTATGAATAAATTGTTAAAAAAGCATCGTAGTAGCTTTTGCTTAACTTCACAGAATTGTGAACCGATAAATAGCTTATACAACAAATCAAATACTGTGCTTGATTAGTATTAGAAACGGACTGCTGTTGATTTAAGTCTCTGTAATTGGAAGAGTATTCACGTCGAGTTAAAGTGCATCAAGTTTCCTTTATCTGTTTGAATCTTGCAAAAATGATAAAAAAATCATTATGTAAATTTTTCAATGACTGTCTTATCTGAAATACTTGAATTATTACTTGATTAGCATATGCTTCTTTTCTGTACACTGCTAATTTTTTGGTGTTACTCACTATTATCAATTATTTTACAAGTGTCAGTAATGACTTGGAACGTAATGTTAAGACTTCTGCATTGCAGAATTTGCAATCTGGCGGATGATGACCAGCAATGAATGAATCAACGCTAACAGTTATTGATGGCAATTGTTTTGAAGGTTTCCGTTTATTTTTATAAAAATTGAACCTTTATTATTGCAATCAAATAAATTATCTTCATTACAAACTACTAATTTAAAAATGAAAACGCATTGAGATGAAATGAAATTTATATTCTCCTCTAAAAAAGAAACTCTGATTTTTCATCTTTAGTCTAAGAAAATATTCTAGCGGTAAAAATTATCTGAATATAGGTTTTGATCTGCAATTAGTATCTTTATATATGCTTATGACAACTCAAAGTTTGTTCTAAATATGAAGTGACAAGAATTTGATGGAAAGAATTAACCAAAATTGACCTTCTGTATTTAAAATACAGAAGGTCAATTTATATCTTATATATTTTTTCGCAATTGATTAAAGTTGAATGATTGCGAAAAAATATAAAAGATTGCAAGTGCTAAATCTTGACTGAATTAATTCTTATGACGAAAAAATAATGCTGTTAAGAAGACTGCTTTTTCTAATTTGATAATGGTGAAGTATGATGGAAACGACTGCATGCATATTTTAGTAATCCATTTTATAAAAACAAATACTGCTCGTCTTCACTTTTGGCTATTCGATGCCCCCTGAAATATATTATTAGATTTTTAACTACATCATGGTATCAAGTAATGAATGCATGAGAATTGCATTCACAAGAAACTTCCAAATATAAATCTTTCTAAAGAATAAATGCATAAACTTTTTTTTCGTCGACTGAACTTCAAAAGTAATCCTTTTGGTACTCTTTAAAGTGACATCCAATGTAATGACTAATCATTTAACAAAGCACTGGCAAATTGATGAAAATGTAATAAGAAGCTCAAAAATGATTACAAAATGCATTAACATCTTAATATACTGCCAGGGAATCTAATTTTTTTCTCCGTTTATTATTTGAAAAAGAGCACATAGACGGATAACACGTACAGAATGATTCATTACACTGTTCATTGCAAGAAAAAGATACTCCAAATCAAAGAATTATTACTGAATTAATAGCTCAGATTGCTCTTGATGGGTTCAGAAATTTGCAAAATTTCATCTGAAAATTGATCTTTACATTTTATGCGAATTCTAAAACAGATCAAGTACTGTGCTGATTTGTTTTTTTTTGCTGTGAATTAAAATCAAAGCATTGGACATTTACTTTTTCGTTTACACTTCACCCAGTTAGGGTTTACACGCTTTTGCATCCTTTCATTTCATTTGTATGTATGAAAAAAGTCTGCAGTTGCAACTGCGAAGAAAAATTGGTGTAGTGCCGTGCTATCCAATAGTACTGAGACCCCTAGAAAGTTTTCTTATTTTATCAAATCATTTAAATTTGATGAATGGCTTGGGCAAGTTGTACACATTTGTTTTATTCAGCCATAGTTATTTGTGATTGAAATGAATGATTGAAAATTTTGTGCAGGTTTTAAGCCTCTTAAATAATGGGAATCTGATTTATTATTTTTGACAAATTTAGTGGACAGGCGGCAATACTAGTTTTGGCTGCAATTTTTAACTTAATGGACATGCATATTTAACTAATAATATTGAGATGAAAAATCTGGATGCGACGATTATAAAATGAAGCATAAAAAATTTTTTAGAAAAATTATGAAGGGAAAAATAAATATGCAAGAAGTCTTTGCTTCAGATTTACTGGTGCATTTAAAGGCCATTTATTGTTGCTCATTGAAACTAGCCACAGTTATAAGGTGAAAAAAGAAGCACAGTAAACATAAAGTTTGAAAAGAAATGGTTGGAAGGCACAGCAAACTTTGACTTTGAAATCTTAGTTTATTGACTATAGTGATGTTGTGTAATTAGCAGAAAATTATCACTCCAACTGCTTATGGACTTGTATTTGATTATATCTTATCACTCCAATTTATGTTTAGTTTTGCACGACATATATACATGTTGTACGAAATTCTTTTGAGAACCATTCTATATTAATTATTTCCAACTTTTGAAATTTAGTACCAAAATTTATCATCGTTCAGCTACTGTAAACATTATGCATATCAGAGGAAGAAACATCAGCTTTATTTGTTTCCACATACAAAATTTTAAGAAGGAAGCAAAAAGACGAAATATGCACTAAAACTCAAAAATGTTATACGATATTAGCTGTGCTGTTACGAGTATATTTTGGTATATATGCGTGCCTTCATTAGACTAAATTCGTGATGCATAGCTATGTAATGATATTTATAAACGAATATAAGAATTTTTACTTGTTTTAGTAATGTATTTGAAGGTAATTATCTGTACTTCAAATATATATATACTAATTAAATCAGATTTGTACACGCAAGTTCGTACAGGTGCACGTGTATGCACCTTCTAGTAAATATCTGAAACAGGTAAATGTGTGTATCGAGGGGTGTGCATAAGTGTTTGTGCATACGTGAAGAATAAATAGATATATGTGAATACACAAATGAATAATAATCACAATTGTTATTAGAGCAGATTGATGAAGGGACCCACAGGGTGGTACGGGGAGGACGAGAAAAGACCTCAAAGAGGAAATCAATGGACTTTTCTCGTCAACAATTTTCAACACTTACACACATACGCAGACAAGCATAGTCTGACAGACAGACAGACATATACCGACGGCACAAACACGTACCCAATTGTGCACGCAAGAGATAGTTGAATGGATGGATGGATAACTTGGTATTCAAAGGCACACACTCAGACAAACTTGAGTTACACACACACACACGCACACACACACACACGCGCACACACACACGCGCACACACACACGCACACACACATACATATGTAAATATAGTTCGTAGAATATTTTTACTACTAATACTACTACTACAATTACTACCACTACTACTATTACTATAACTATTACTTTTTCTAATACTCTTTCTCTTATCGTTACTAATACTACTGCTATTGCTATATCTGACCGTGATTAGGAATTAAAAGGATCTAATCAGAGAGTAACAAGCTATAAGTGAGTTAGATTTGTTGAG